TAATTTAGAAAAAAGTAGTTATATTTGTTTAGATTGCTAATCATCTAGAGTAAACTAGCAACTAAAAAATGTAAAAAGTTAATTAAAAGAGTATAGTAATAAAGGATGATTGTTATAAAGAATAGAAGTATAGTTAAAAGAAGGCTTGTTAGTGGTCAAAATAAATTTAAAAAATTAACTTGTATATTTGGCATAGTATAAAAAAACTTAGCAATAGATAATATATATAAGCTTAGATTAGAATAGAGCTACTTAAAAGTAGAGTTGTTGATATACTATATAAATTAAATATACTGTATATATAGGTTTATAGTAAAAATAATTAGTGAAATTTTTTTTTTTTTTTTTATTAAGGTGACCTCTTTGGTCTTTTGACTTTTATTAATTACTTATCAGTATTATAGTTTAATGAACCATTACAAAAGAGAGTACAATTGGCTATACATACAACTTTTCTATATTACCTATTTAAGGAGTCTGCCCAAAGGTTCCCTACCAATTGCTGTATCTAACATTCTTGCTTGGATGTTCCACTTTAAACTTTCTGAATCTGTAATCTGTATTAACTCACTAGGTTATACCCAGATGCCCAGATTATTGTCTCAACCTTAGGACTAATTTATCCTCAAGGTAAACTCTCAGAGCCTTCTGTACTCATTTTTACAGTTAACCTAGATATCACTATGGCAAAACTAACATTTGCAGTCAGAGCTAATCATTAAACTGCTATGCCTTTGTAAAGTTTACTTAGACCCCAGCATCTATTTTACAGTATAACTCCAGTACTTTAGTATATCCTTGCCTTTTTATTTGCCTTTTTACCAAACTTCCAATTCAGATAGTCTACATAGAACTATGACCAGTCTATTAGTATATTGGGTTAGCCCAATATCCTTTTCCTCTGGTTTGTTCTAATGGCCTAGTTGGTAATATCTCCAAGACTTCCAACTCAGAGGTTCTTGCCTATTTGGCTACTACGACTAAGTACTACAACCTTGGTATCCATTTTTCTAAGCTAGCCTTTACAGTAGAGCTGTCAAAGATCCAGCTATCTCTCTACTCGGGTCTTCTCAAATGAACTTCTTGTTACCCAATTTCAATAGATTTACATAATTACAAGGACTTATCTAGTGTTTGCACTGCCCAATTTGTTGGTTTGCATTTCTCTATATAATACTATATTTATACAGATGCCCCATAACCTGCCAGTTATGCTAGTGCAATTGCCATTATAGGTATTCTAACCTAATCATTAGTAACAGTTGCTGTAATACAAATATTATATAGGTGATTATTCAAATTTTTACTGTCAATGAGATTTGAACACTCAATCTACTACTTGAGAGGTTGATAACCTGACCACTTCACTAGGTTGCCACACTCCACTTGGTAAATTTTTTTTGTATAATAAAAATAAGAATTTATATTAAAAAGTTAAATTTAACAATTTAATTATTAATTTTATTGCATATTTTTTATTTTTTTAAAAAAGTGCTCTTTTTTTCTAAAATATAAGACCTGCTAAGTAATTGTATAAAATTTTAAAAGAAGTTAATATGTAAATTATTGAGAAGATACAGTTTAAATTTTAGTAAATTTTTATAAAAGACTGTTAATTTTTAAAGATTATTTTCTTGTTATTTTATATAATAACTTTTTTTAAATTTTAATACAATTACTTAGAAGACCTTAAATTTTAAACTAAAAGAGTAATTTTTTAAAAAAATTGGTTTATTAAAAATTTATTAACTTTAAATAGGTTTATGAATTTGTAGTCATGTTAGTCTGATATTTTACTAAATTAGAAAATCAAATCTAGAATATTCTCTAAAATTTAATTAGTAGATAATTGTCCTTTTTTATACAAGAGCTGTGAACTTTATTACTTAAAAAATAATTGGATCAATATATTTCAATAAAATTAACCACTAAAATATATTTTTCAAACATTGTAGTTTTAGAATCTGTAAGGATCTGTGAAAGTTTATAAAGTAGTTTTTTTTTTATTTTCATTTAAATTATACATGTTTTAGTATATAGACATGGTAAATTCAAGAACAAAAGCCAAAGAGTTATCTTGTGTATTTAGCTTTCTTGTTCAAGACTATCCAGGAAGTGAATTAGCAAAATGTAAAACTTCTGAAAAACAATAGTGATAACATGCAACAGGTTTCATAATAGTGAATAAAGTGCAAGTCTTAGTTAAGTATCTTCTAAAGTTGTCTTTATTACTTGAGTTTTTAGAAAATTACTCTGTATATCAAAAACATTACAATAATATTATTGTTAAAAATTTTTTTCTTGAGCAATTAGAAAAAATCAGTGATTCTGTTTTTTTCTTAAAAAAAAAAAAAAATAAAAAATAAAATTATCTGATAGTGAAATGAAATTTTGTGATTTTGGAATTCAAGTATTGTTACCAAATCCTGAATATAATAGTCTTATAAAAAAAATTAATGAATTAGAATGTCTTAATAAACAATTATTGCTTGAAAATGAAATATTAAAAAAAAATTAAGTAATAAATTTGATGACCAAAAAGAGCAGGTTAAAAGTGTTATAGAAATTGCCAAATAGGAATAAAGTGCTTTATATGATGATGTCATCAATTTAATAAATGATTATGAATGATTCAATTTAAATATTTTTTTAAAATATTCTTCATCTCAGTGGCTTGCTATGTGTAACCCAGTTTTAATAAAATTTATAGAAACTTTTACATATAATGAAAATGATGAATATTATAAAGAAGAAAAGCTTTTTAAATGTGCTGTAGCAATTGATATCTGATATGGAATGAGACATCTAAAATATGTATCAGCAGTTAATTTAGCACTATTATCAATAAAGTATTCTATAGCAAAATCTAAAACAATAATTAATGTCGATAACTATATCATAAATGCTAGTAGTTTTACCAAATTTATTAAGTAGCAAGAGAATTTAGTAGGTAATCTTGATCCATTTTTAAACAGTTTAGTGTTTATGGCATTTGATAATAAACAAAAAGAACAAAAAAACTATTTGGATCATAAATATAATAAAGTAATTTTTTATACTGTAACTAGTTTCATTTTATTTAACTTTAATCCTATTAACCAAATACAAAATTTCAAAAATCTCTGGCTTTATCAAAATCTTAACACACTACAAATCAAAGAGTTATTTGAACTTACTTTGGAAATGCAAATATTACTTGATCGTCAGCTTCATGATTATCTTTCATCTATTTTAGCTAAACTATGCAAAGAAAAAAATAATGTAAATATTATTGATAATTTGGTAACTAATCAAAATGCTAAGATAAATAATCAAAAACAATGCTGTGAATGTGATAAAAATAAAATTGAAAATTCAAAGCGTAAATGCTTTTAATGTTATACAAAACTTTTTATGCTTGCTAAAACTCAACAAGAAAACAAACAGCCTATAGTTAATAAAAAAGATTCTACTAAACTATTAATTTTTAGATCCTATCAACCCAATACAAGTATATTAGTTAAATTTACAAATTCAGTTAACACAACTCAAAAATTAGAATCTTAAGATAGTATTAGTATACCTGATATTCTTGTACCTGACTCTTTTTCGATTAATTCAAATTCTATTGACAATATTTGCAAGGTTTTAGATTATATTCAAAAAATTAGTAGAATAAGTAATGATAACTAAAAATGAAGTATAGTAGTTTGTAACAGAATTCCTTACCATTATGCACAAAAAATCAAAACAGAATATCTGAGAATTATTTTGTTGCCTAGTCCACTTCATAAAGAAATAAACATGCTAAAAGCTTTCATAGAATTGAATTAGTATAACATCTAATTTTAAACTACTATTGATTATCAATATAACGAATGCCATATATCAGATTCACTAGTTTAATAAACTGATGAATATAAGAATTTAAAACCCCAAAACATATTAGTATAGTTAAAAATTTTACCACTCTGCTTAATAATTTAATTATTAAATTACTAATCTATATAATATATTAGCTAGTGACAAATATAGCCTGGCTGTTATATTAATAGTTGACTATAATTTTTTAAATATAAAATTAAATTTAATTTCACAATTTTTGACTTATAATATTTTGCACAATATCAAGGATATAGAACTGAAAACCAGTTAGGTTATTTTAAAAAATGTGCAGATTATTATAAAATATAGGATTCAGTATGCAATATTTATTGATATGTGATGGCAATAAAATTGGTTTGGCCATATGTTGTTTCAGCTTCTAATCTATCTGTTAATGGCTTTCTTGATTGGGCTAAAAATCAAAAAAATGAACTATACAAATTAAAATATAAACAAGTATTTAATAATTTATAACTATAAATGTTAATTTATTTAAATTCAAAATTAATAATAATTAAATTACATTCAGATTTTTTGATACTTACAAGTAATAATAAACTTTCATACTGGTATTAGATATAATTAACCTTTACTTAAATCAGCTGCACATAGAATGTTTGCTTCTATCTGGTCTGCAAAATGGCACCCTATTTACCAGGCAATTAAAGTAGCTGATAAAGAACAATTAATTCATCTCCATTTTGAGATTCTTGAAATTATCAAAAAGAATTCTGTTATAGCATGGTCAAGATGGCCAAACCAGTATCAAGGACTAAATGCTATACTTGAAGAGATAATAAAACATTAAAAATGCTAATTCTACTAATACCAACTCAAAAGCATTGGAAAATAGCTGCAAGAAATTGTATGAAATTTATGAAGATAAAAATAAATGAAAATGCTATAGTAAAAAAAGGTGATAAGATAATATATAAGTAATGAAAAGGGAAAACCTATAAATCATTTTATTTATTAAGTGAAATGATTTACAGATTTTCTCCTTTTGTCACTCATATTGTCTTATCCCTTTCTTTGCTATAGCATTTTCAAATATTGTTGTTATTTAAACATATACTTAATATGTCTTTCTCTGATAAATATTATCTTGATAGTTATGAAAAAAATTGTTTGCTACAATGGGATATGCTGATTTTGAAAGTTTGGGTTCACAAAGCCATCCAAACTATAAAGAAGAATCACAGCAGTTTCGAATTCAATTAAGAAAAGCTGGTTTTCTAGATCCAAATAAAAATTGTGACTTTGGAAGTTTGGATAAGAATAATAAATTAAGTATGCAATTGAAATCATTCAGTAATATAGCTTGAGCTCAATATATAAACTATATTAAAGATAAATTCAGTTTAACTAAGTCATCTGAACTTACTTGTTCTATTTCTATTATTTTAGACAAAGTACAATTACAATTAACAGACAGTTCATTGAAAAAGAAAGTAATAGTATTTATAATTAAAATCTTAGTTGGATTCTTAAATAAAGCTAAATGGTCACAATTCAAATGATTAAAATCAAAAAAAGATGAATTGTTAATAATTTTGCAACAAGTCTGAAATTTTCATAACATATCTGATGTTATTGAAATTGAAGAGACATTATAAAAAATAATAGCTAAAATATATTTTGAAAATTTAAAAAAAAGGTTGATTAAATAAATCTACAAAAAATATACAAATTGTATAAATATCTTAAAAAACATTATATACATAAAATCACATAATCCATTATCTATTTTTTTTAAGATCAAATGCCTTGTTCTTAAAATAAAAAAAGTGCTAATGAAGTTATTAACAATTGTATTAATATGTTGTCATAACTTGCAAATTGAATAATCTAGAAATAATTACTAAATCTTAATGTTTATAATACAGTAAATGTAGAATTACATGCTAATGTTACAAACTTGCTTTATATTTCTAACTAATTTTTGCCAATTTAACAAATACTACAGAACAATATTCAAATAAGCTGATTAATAACATAATACAAATTGTGATTATTCAATAATAAATTAGTTAAACAGGTCTAAATTTTAAAAAAAAGTTTCAAATAAAGAATATGAACTTATATAATATATAGAATTTTTATTTGATATTATATACTTTCTAAATGCATGCACTGTAAGTACATGTATTAAATAAATTTACACATAGCATGTCTTGATCTAGCTTATAAAAGCTCTATATACTTTCTTACTTGTTCTATGAACACATATTCTCCAAGTATCTTTTTTTGCCATCTATAAATTATATATAGAAATTTTGTAACTAATTAAATTTAGTTTTATGATTTGATTCTAGAAAATCACTAATGTAGATTATTTCTATATTGGAAAATGCCAAATTTAGAAAAACACTAGACTGTATTGGCTTGACAAATGCATTCATCTAACATTAATTTAACAAGCAAATGTGCAACATTCACCTAATGCAATAAATACATTTTAACCTTCATACATTATAATAAAAATGGCTAATATTCATCTAAATGTAAAAGACATATTCTTATTATTAGTTTGGTATGAGAAAAAAAACTTTAATTTTATATATAGTGAACTACAAATTGTACATATATAGTAGGAATCTGAATTAACCAGAGTGATCCAATAATTCAGTTTATGCAGATTTTTTGTAGCTACAACATAATACATTTTATATAACTGAATTTGTGTTCTTTGTTTAAGATATATGTCATATGTTACATTGTAATTAAAAGATATGCTGCATAACTTATGAATTTAAGGTTTGTCAAGATTACTTTAAATTAAAACTTATAATAAAAAAAAAATTTTTTTTTTAATTACTTTTAGTTATTTTAGCATATAAATTTATATGCTAAACTGGATGGTTTAAGAGATAAGATTCAATTTTTGAACAAATTATACTTTTTAAAAAAGATTGAAAAAAGCTAAATATATTTATAATTTTTAAACTATTTTATAAAGATAATTAAAAATATTATAAATTTAGGTTACAGATAACTTGTCTGAGCCTCTAATTTTAATATTTTATAGATATAGAATTCAAATATAAATTTTGTCTATATATTTTACTTATAAAAAGTTTAACTGAGTTTTAATAAAAATAGAAGCATAGCCTCATTATTAATATTTAAAAAAATTAAAAATATTAATTATCTAGACTAAATTATTAATATTTTAAAAATAAGTATAAATTTTTAGCATATTTTAAACTTTTTTTATATTTATTAAATATATATTAAATAATATTAATTTTAAAAAATTATATCCTATAGCTTAACAATAAAACTGCTAATTCCTTATAGACAAGATCAATAGGTTAAGTCAGACTAGAGGCAAAAATCTTAAAATTTTAACTCTTTAATTTATAAGAAACAAAATTAAATGCAAAGCCATGTGAAAAGTTCTAAGATAAAGTACAAGAACAAATTAGAAATTCCTAAAAAGAAACTGAATCTGTAGAGTAAAGGCACTATATGTGATAGTGGCATTATGAAAGGTTTGGCTAACAATAATATTGTGTATGTAAGTTCTTAAAAAACAAAGCAGCATCAATATCTTTGTATTTAACTTATAGGGTACTTAATTGAAAGAGTAATACTAGATAACCAAACTAGAGTAATAAATGATATAATGTATGCAAAAAAGATTTGTAACAAAAAATTAGTTTAATCAAAATTGAAACATCTTAGATAAGTATTCTTAAAAGTATTTAAAAAGTATTTTATAACCAGTTATATATCACAACTTAAATGATAGGCATTATATATATATAATAAGTCAAGGTTTTAGGCTATTAAGCTAGTAGTACATCAGTATATAGTTAGTAGTACATCTATAAAAAAGCTTGCAAAAAGCATATATGATCAAGCCATAAACTAAACTAACTATGAAAGTATATTTGAAAAGAATATATAGTAAATTGCAAATTGATAATTCAAATTTTAATAAATCTAGCTATGCTATTAGGATACTAGGAAGTAAATTAGACTGTATATACCAAACTAGTAATAAGAAAAGCAAAAAACTGTAAGAGTTAACCAATTTAAAAAAAGGATATATTACTGCAAGTAGTAGGCAGAAGAGCTAATAAGTAAGGAAAATAAAAAGAAATTAGAGTATAACAAGATGATTTATAGCCTTTCTGGTAGTTTAGTAATGATGGTTAAAATATATAGTAAAGGCTACAAAAATAGAGTACATAGGAAAATATAGATGTAATATTATATTGAATGTCTAGAACAATTAGTAATTTAGTAATACAAATATAATATAACTATATGTAATAGTAATGTAAAAAACTAAATAAAATATAAGTTACAATTTGATATTATAAAAAAAAAACATTAATTTTAATAAGTTATAACTATTATATTAGGAAGTGTATATACAATAGCAAACATTATACTTCTCTATATAGTAAAACTTAAAATATATTTTGAACAAAACATTACTAACATAAAGCTTTTTATTTATTAAATAATTATGATAATGCTATTAAAGTTTGATAAATATTACACTAATATAGAAGATATGTACTGTATTGTTTTAATAATAAATCTATATTATAAATTGTTTTTTATTAGCTTGTAGAAAAGAATTTCTTAGTAAAAAACTCTTTCTGCAAATCCATTACGCAAAAATTAACTAAAAAACTATCTATCTAAAAATGCTTATAACTTTTTATTTTATTAAGACAATCTATTCTGGCATCTTTAGTAATTTTGTTTAGCTCAGTATTTTATATATAATCTAAAAATATTACAGATTTAGCTTTTAAACTTACAGAGAAAACTGTACTGATGACCTTTAGTTACCAGTTTTAGAAAACTAACTCTCTTATAGTTTCTACTACAATAACTTGTCTTACAGCTTTAATTAAAGTTGTAGTGCATATTTGTCCAGTTAAAACAAGTTCTAAAGAAAGAATTTTGATCTAATATTGGCTGAACTATAGCTAAATTCATTTTTTATTCTCTTATAAACTTTTTTTTTTACTTTCTAGCTATACTCCATCTTCTTCTTTTCTTACATGATTTTTATATAATCATACTATCATTTTTCAATTAATACTTTATTAATTTACACCAAAATTTTGTAACCAGTCTATTAATAGAAACTCATTGATACAATCTAGTAATTTCCATTTTTGGTTTTTATTAATTGTATACAGAAATTTGTATTGTAAATCTTATTTGTACCAGTACCTGAATCACATCTGTAACTCCAACCATTATAGTTACACTTCAGTATTACTTTTGTGATACTCTAACTATACAACTCTTGTTTCTATCTACTACTCTTATAAAATAATTACTTGACCAAATTTTTAACTTAGAATTTTCTAAGTCTTTTTTTATATATAACATTTATTTAACTTATTATAACAAAAATGCCTACACTAACCAACTAAGAGCCTGATACAGTAAACCTTAACTACTTTTACCAAAACTTTTCTAATAGTTTTGGAATTGCTTTTTATAAAGAAGAAACTGGCAACAATGCTTGTTCAATTCCTTCCAAAGTCAAATTAACTTCTTGCTAAACTAAAAATTTTAAATTTAACAAAATTAATCATTTCTTTCAAGCTTTCACCTCTATTTCTGTGATTACTTGTCTTTGTGGCAAATATCACACCAAATTCATTTCAAATACTAATACTAATTATACCCAAACTACTAAATTCACTATAGTCAATATCAACACTAATTCTAAAAAGAATCTTACCAAGTTAACTCAACAACTTATAACTAATCTCTCTTCTTCAACTGACAGTGTTCCTTTATTTTCTACATCTGATATATATTATTATATCTGCTCAAATACTCTCTTCCAATTGGTTATACTAAGAGAAATAAGCATCACTATCCTAATGAAAAATATGCCACTAAAAATAATGAAGTTTATCACCCTGCTTGTATGATTATTTTATCTTAACATGAAGCTAACTCATTTTAAACAAAAAAGAATCTTACACAAATCTTTCAAAATATTCTTTATGAATCATCTCAAACTACTAATTCTAATCTTGTTTTTTCTTACCAAAACTCTTCTACTACCTTTGACCTTATTGACTCTTTTTTTTCTACAACTATTAATACTAATTTTGCTACTAACCAACCTCTTATTATTATGATCTCTGACAATACTAACTTAAATTTTAACAACTCTAGCAACTCTAACTAATCTAATACTACTTCCAACAAACCTCCTACCCAATCTTACTCAAGTATCCTTAAACCAAAATCCAATTATATATGTGATTGATTTGCAAATTTTTCTATTACTGAAGAAATGCAACTCAACAAAAAACTACAAATTACTTTCTCTCTTTAACTTTTCATTTTTTCAAAAAATTTCTTTATAATTTTTATTCTGACAAAGAAATTAAACTTGCAACTCTTACTTAACCTGCACTTAAGGTTTTATTTTATTACATTATCTGTATAATGGCAGGACAATACCTAAATTCCTAACTGATCTCATTTATAAAAGCAATTCTAATATTGAAAAAAGTGTTACAAT